TTTTATTTTTGAATAGTCTGGTAACAATTGTGTTGGTTTCTGCCATAGCAGAGTTATTTTCAGGTCGGCCGGAGTGTCGCCTTCGAGGGAACGGCGAAACACAGTACGTGATTGAAATTGCTGTATTCAACGACCCGTGCCTCACGCAGATGGTCCGTCTTCCGATTTTTTTTTCGACGAAGTCTTTATAAACAGCTGTCATATGCATGTCTTTCAGCCTGCTCCAGGCGTGTTCCAGAACAGAATTCGGATAGGACAAAATCCTGCAGTAATTTTGCAAGGTGATCAAACGCTCACTGTAAAATGCGTCTACGGACTGCCTGAAGTGGAGACGCTACCACTACCGATTGTCAGCCCAAATTTCAATATTGAAAGGTATCTGAAAGTTTCAATGATTTCCTAAACTTGTCTGAAATGTGGATGAGATGTACGTCTTTATCACAGCGGGGCAACCACATCAGTGGGTCTTCCTTCTGGTGCCATCATTCCGACATCTCACACTATCACTGGCACTCTACCACAACCTCAACTACAACCACATCCCTCCGCCACTGGACGAGCAGGCTCCGGAGGTTTAGAGATCTCTGAGAGTACACAGGTTCGCCAATCTGCTTTGTAATGTAGAATCTTTTCATATATACTAAATGTTGTTGTCTAGCAGAGCAGTGAAAAAGTCAGATTACTAGACGGTTTTGGTGTCTTTTGTCCTCCCCAGAAATCTTTGGGAAGAGATGGATAGAGGAAAGCACTATGTCATAAGGGGGCATAATGTCTTGCACAAAGAATTCATGGTTGCTTTCGTTTAATCTGATGAGAGAACGAGAGCAAAAGGCACATGATTAGCTTGTTCGCTAAGTTTAAATCACCAAAAAGATAATATCTGTTGCATCAATGTTTGATTTGTTAGCATTCGACACCAAGTCATGAATCAAATCTTACCTTTTGACCTCCTGACGAACAAACTGTGATCTTAATCCATTGTTGAGGACCCCGATAAGCACGTCAGTGTCGATGTGGCCAGTATCGGCAATCAGTTGGA